CCATCATTTTTGTCTTGGTTCAGAACCTCTGCCAAAAATGGTGCACATTTTCCTAGGCCATCCTAGGGTTTTTGATTTAAATCATAAATATTTGAATTTGGGCATTTAAAATAATATAAAATATTTAAATGCTCAAATATCTCCAAACTAAAATGTTTCATGTTGGAAATAATCCAACTATGGGCCAGGAATAGTTTGGTGATTTTTGAACTAGCCTAGGTATTTTATTTAATTCAACAAAGTTGCAGAAGTATTAGAAAAACAGAAAACAGAAAAATATAAAAAGGGAGAAGCTTACCTGGGCTCCTCCCTGTGCGGCCCAGCCAGCTGGCTGGCCCAGCCAGCAGCCGGCCCAGCCCACCTCCCTCCTCTGTCGTCTTCGTCCCGACAGAGGGAGGGGAGTGTGGCCGACGCGCGCGCGCGCCACCGCGCCACGCCACCTGCTCGCCTGCTTGCCTGCCCTCCCCTCCTCGCTCGACGCCCTGGACGACGCCACGCCTCTCCCCCTGCTCTCTCTCACTCTCCCCCGGCTCTCCTCTCATCTCCCTCGCTCTCTCTCTCACGGCCGAACACCACCGTCGCCGCCGTTCGCCATAGCCATCGTCTCCGGCCACCCCTCGCTCCCCCGACTAGCTCAGAAGCTCCGCCTCGACTCCCTCTTCCTCCCCACCGCTCCACGGGTCCCCGGAAGCCCTGCATCGCCGCCACGTCGCCGTTCCCCTCTTCGGGCTCCGACCGTCGTCGCCGTCGAATTCACCGTCACCAGCGCGTCCCCGAGCCCGCTAACCATCCCTGCAGCTCCGCGGTGAGCCCCCGGATCGTTTCCCCCTTCTTCCCTGGTCTCTTTCGACTTCTAGGCCCTAGCCCCACCTCGGCTGAGAGCTCCACGCCGCCGGCGATGTCGCCGTCGTGGCCACGGTCGCCGTAGCGCCCAACCGAGCACACCATCGTGCTCCCCACCTCACCAGGAGCACGCAGCACGCACCAACGCCTCCCCAAACCCCCTGCAACACTGATCCCGACCGCACCCGAACTCCGGCCGCCGCAGCCGAGCTCGCCGCCGTCAACTCCGGCCACCCCGAGCCCAACCACCACCACCAATAGTCGCGGCTCAACCTCAGCAACACGTAGATGCCTTCCGCCGTCCATTTGGTTGCCGGAATGGCAAAAAGCACTTTCGCCGCCGTCTCGGGCCTCGCCGGCGTCATGTCGCCGGTGGGGTTTGACTTGTCCGACCTGGGGTTTGACCCCCCAGGGTCACTGACGCGTGGGCCCTGTCGGCCAGGTGGTTAGGTTAGCGCTAACTACTGTTAGTCAACCCCCCCTGACACTGACAGTGGGCCCCAGCGCCACTAACCCCTAATTAGGATTAATTTAATCCTGTTTAACCCCCCCTGTCACTGACGTGTGGGCCCCACACGTCAGGTTTGACCTCAGCCAGCCACAGTTGACCACTGACGTCATGCTGACGTCATGCTGACGCAATAATTATATTTCTGGAATTAAATTAAATCAGGAAATTCCAGAATATTACTTAAACTTCAAAAATTCATAACTTTTATTCTGTAACTCCAAATTTGACAAATTATATATGAAAAATGATCAGAAAAATCCAATCTATCCATCTGTACTATTTTCATGCATGATCAAACAAGTTAAATTGATGTTTTAAGCAGAACAAGAAAAGGCACTTTAAAAGGCCATATTTGAATTTGAAATTTGAATCCTTGATTCAAATTTGTTCAAACACCCCTGGTTTTAGTTGCATTAGCCCAATACACTCATTTTGCCATGTCTCATGCATGCATCATATTGTTGCATAGTGTTTGGTAATGCTTGTGTATCGGTGCTCTCTGCGGCAGGTTCTGTCCCCGAAGAGTACCTTGATTACCCTAGCGAAGAACCGTATCAGTGCATCGAACCATCAGGCAAGCAACCAACCATTTGATCATATCGATACAATCCCATGTTCTCGCTCCTGCTCTCTTTTACTGCATTAAGACAACGCGATTCAAACTGCTGTGTGCTACGGTAGTTGAACCCATTTCCTCTGCATGACCTGTCATTGCCACAGTAACTAGATGAAACTCACTAGCATGTGTAGGAGTTGATTGAGCCATATGTATGTGTTGTTCCTACCTTGCTATGCCTGCTACGCTTAGAGTCGTGTCAGGTCTGGTTCATCTGGGTGATGGGCTGGAGTGAAATGATCATGTCGGTAATAAGAGTGGTGTGGTGAACACGATTTGGTAAAGGTGTCGATGAGAGGCCATGTAGGAGTACATGGTGGGTTGTTTCATTGAAGCCGACCTTAAGCACTGAGATCTGTATGCGTGATTTAAGATACAGCTACTACCATGCATTGGGCCCTGAGATATGACCCCGCTCGACTTCTTATTCACCCTAGCTCTCTGTCCAGGAGTTGCAAGTAGTTTCTGGTGTTTGTAGCCTACTGGAGGCCGTGGACAGCGCTGACCGTAGGGGTGGGCTGTGATGCGGTAGGTACGTGGCCGGGTGTACCGAATACCCGTTAGGTATCTCGGGAACCCTGTTCACATCGTTCGGGGCCGTATGGGAAACCTCGGCCGGACTCCCTGCGGATGGAACCTGAATAGGCGATAAACCTGGACTAGAGGCTTAAGTGTTTAGGTAGGTCGTGGTCTACACCCACGTCGGCTTTCGCTTGAAGTCTGCCGAGCACATGTCGTGTGCAGACGCTAAGTGGTGGAAACATGTATGAAGAAGTACACCCCTGCAGGGTTATCATAATCTATTCGAATAGCCGCGTCCGCGGTAAAGCACTACTTGGTTGCCTATACAGTTCATAGACAAGTAAATGGAAACTGTTAAAAGCCTCAAGATAAGTGTGAGTGCCGAGGATGGCTCTTCCGTAGGAAGACGGAGGTGGATCCTCGGTAGTGTATTGAATTGGTGAGTAGTGGACTCGTGTGCGCAAAACCATTTCAAGTTGGAGTATCGTAGGATAGCCTAGCCAAGAGTCAAAGCTGGCTTGCTGCAATAACTCCACCAACCCTTCTTCATACTATGCATGTATGTAGGATCTGATGTAAGTCTTGCTGAGTACCTTTGTACTCATGTTGCTATAATCTACATTTTTACAGAAGACGCTGCAACCCCTTCTGATGGGTTCTATGTAGACGTTGACATCAACGAATAGGCTAAAGACCCAGGTGGTGACCCTGAGCTTGTGAAGGACCACGTAGTATAGCTAGGCTTTCCAAGCCTCTTTTATTTTACTAGTTGTCTGTACCCAGACAAGTTATTCCGCTGCTGGTTTGTATGACTGTATGACTTGTATGTGAGGTCGTGAGACCCGTACCTTTGTGTATGTTATGTATGGTTCACTGAGCCTTAAATAAAGTACTTGTGTCGTAGAGTCATGTTGTGATGCTTCGTTGTATTTGCACATATCGAGCATATTGTGTGTATGATTGAAATGCTTGGTATGTGTGGGATCTGACTATCTAGTTGTTTATCTTTAGTAGCCTCTCTTACCGGGAAATGTCTCCTAGTGTTACCGTTGAGCCATGGTAGCTTGCTACTGCTCTGGAACACTTAGGCTGGCCGGCATGTGTCCTTCTTCGTTCCTGTGTCTGTCCCTTCGGGGAAATGTCACGCTTTGAGTACCGGAGTCCTGTTAGCCCGCTACAGCCCGGTTTACCGGAGTCCTGCTAGCCCAGTGCTACAGCCCGGACCCACTTGCTGATGACCGACACGTTCGAAGCTGGGTCATGGATGCCTGTCCCTGTAAGTCTGTGCCACTTTGGGTTTACGACTAGTCATGTCAGCCCGGGCTCTTTATCATATGGATGCTAGCGACACTATCATATACGTGAGCCAAAAGGCGCAAACGGTCCCGGGCAAAGGTAAGGCGACACCCGTGGGGATACCGTGCGTGAGGCCGCAAAGTGATATGAGGTGTTACCAGCTAGATCGATGTGACATCGAGTCGGGGTCCTGACAAAACCGGTTTCCTTAGAAAATCTTTTCGCTAGGGTTGCCTCAAAATGCATGCCCTCATTTCAAGATTCATAGCCATCCTCCCGGTGAGTCGATGAGCCCCAATGCTCTCTTGCCACTCTTCATTGGTGGTCGGGTTTCCGTTGGTGGAACCCCCAACACCGCCTCTGGCCTGAAGCGCAAGCATGAGTTCTTTTGTTCAAGTGTGTGTCTACTTGTCTTGTTCCCAAGATCGTGGCGTGGTGAGAAACTTTGCTATTGCCCTCGTGTTGAGGATGCGCTCCTACCATGGAATTAGTATTAGTTGACTCCGCGTGCCCCTAAACAAACTGGCCTCACCAGGAATTTCTCGCACTGCATGCATGTATATTTATTCGAATTCTTTTTTTAGATGATATTTATTCGATTCTGGCTAGAAGCCCCAACAGATTTGAAGGAGACGAAGCACAAATGAAACGTTCTTAATAAACCTCACATCTCAACAACCGGAAAAACAAGCGTCCCCATCTACCACTGGTGGATCATATCGTATGCAGAACCGGAAGGAAAGAGACACGGAGCTGGTCACACCAATCCAGCTGCTTGATCCAGCTATTGCTCTCCAGCTTATGTACATGACCGGTTCACATATCAGTCAAGTCAACCCATGTAACCATCAGGCTAATGTTTGTTACTACTATTCTGTATCATATCATTACCAACGCCCTTTGATTAATTTTCGGAGCCACTGGGAGGAAAAGGAGTACAGCCTGCGGATTCAATGACGCTTAAGATTGGTGGCAACTACCGGTGTATAGTAACGTTCCAACGAAGCCAAAATACATTGTTAACTTTAAGCACGCGGCAACATATGCATTCTTGGCCAAGGCTAGGTCTTCAAAATTCAAATGCCCACCTATATAAGTAGCTTCATGCTGGAGCTATGGCAACACGCCAACACGCATTCTCCACCGATCGACCACTTACATTTCTCTCTTCCCATCCAATCTTAGTCGAGCAAGCAAGCTAGCTTCGAAAAAATGGCGACTGTTGCTGCAAAGCTGGGCGTTCTAATGGCTTGTGCATTGCTGCTCCTCGCCGTCGGGTGCCAGGCCAGCCCTTTCTGGCCACTCGAGGTCGGGTTCTACCACGACAAGTGCCCCCAAGCGGAGGCCGTTGTCAAGGGCGTCATGGAGAAGGCCATCTCCCAGAACCCCGGCAATGGCGCCGCCATGATCCGCATGCTCTTCCACGACTGTTTCGTCGAGGTACTGCAAGAAACGAATTTGCAAACGTATACTATATACAGCCGATTGGTCAGGCTTGATTAATTTGGTTGAGATGTTGATGACTAGGGCTGTGATGCTTCCGTCCTCCTCGACCCGACCCCGTTCAGCCCGACGCCGGAGAAGCTCAGCCCGCCGAACGACCCTTCCCTGCGCGGCTTCGAGCTGATTGACGCGATCAAGGACGCCGTCGAGGCAGCCTGCCCGGGCGTCGTCTCCTGCGCAGACATCGTCGCCTTCGCGGCCCGTGACGCGTCCTGCATCCTTAGCAGGGGCAAGGTAAACTTCAAAATGCCGTCCGGCCGCCGCGACGGCACCTTCTCCAACGCCTCCGAGCCGCTCAAGTTTCTGGTCCCACCGGCGTCCAACCTCAGCGACCTCGTCGACAGCTTCGTCGTCAAGGGCCTCAACACGGAGGACCTGGTCATCCTCTCCGGCGCGCACACCATCGGGCGCTCCCACTGCTCCTCCTTCGTTCCCGACCGCCTCAACGCCCCCTCCGACATCAACGGCAGCCTCGCCGCGTTCCTGAGGAGGCAGTGCCCGGCCGACGCGACTTCGGGAGGCAACGACCCGACGGTGATGCAGGACGTGGTGACGCCCAACAAGCTGGACAGGCAGTACTACAAGAACGTGTTGTCGCACACGGTGCTCTTCACCTCCGATGCAGCGCTCATGACGTCGGAGGAGACGGCGAGAATGGTGGTGGACAACGCCAACATCCCCGGATGGTGGGAGGACAGGTTCGAGAAGGCCATGGTGAAGATGGCCGGCATCGAGGTCAAGACCGGCTACCAGGGCCAGATCAGGAAGAACTGCCGCGCAATCAACCACTACTAAGTGGAGTGGTACAGCTGCGCACGTACGTGAGCATGCATGGTGAAAGAGATCACTCAATCTCGACTTAATTCTTTGCTCTAACCTGCAATCGAGTTCATGTTGTAAAATTTGGCAATATTCTTTCACTGCGCTCTTTTTCTTAATTGTCGTTTTCCCTTTGGTTATTTCTTTGTTCAATTCTCTCCGAGCTACGGAATTCTTTGTGTATATGGTGTAGTACATGTGTGACTGCAAAGCAATCTTGTTATAATATTCTGTATTTGAAATAATAAAGTGATGCATGCAACAATTTTCTTTCTCTTGAAGATGCATTACGGTATTCACAATAATAACGATACACAAATGATACGCATGCAATCAATGGAAGACAAGGAGGATACAAACCGATTGTACTACTGCATGCCGCCCTTGCCGCGATTACCAAACTTTCCAATTTTGTGGCCAGCGGCACCCACACTTGCACCCATCAACCTGCTTCCTCGCCTTCACAGCTCTCTCCCACTTGCAGCGCCATCCCCATCTCCGGCGAGGTACTGGATCGGCCTCGCCGTCTCGTTTCTCATGTCGTCCCTGCCTTTAGCCTTGCTGTGAAGTCCAATGACGCCAAAAAAAAAATCAGGCACCTGAGTTAGCAGACTCGTGAACTACCTCGGTGCATAACTACAATCGATTCCGTTATGATTTTCTATGTACTCCCTCTAGTGTCAAAAACCCTCTTATATTATGGGACGAAGGGAGTAATTAACAACACTACTGCACTAGAAACGAACAAAAGGACTATGTGCGTGTCCAATCGGAAATCTGAATTTATCAGTAGGCCGTGTTGGAAACGAGAGTTTTGGCAATGCTACTCGATGTATTGATCGGTACATAGCACACGTATATATGGAGTATAAAGTGGGCCACAACCTCAACTATACAATGACTAGGAGGTGGGCCGAGCTATACAATATACATGCACAAACCATATGTTCAACACCCCTCCCCCTAGTCGAAGCGTCGCCGGAGACGCAAAGACTGGACCTGAACTCCTCGAAAATAGAAGTAGGCAGTCCGTTCGTCGTGACATCAGCGAACTGTTGCGCCGTCGGGACGTGGAGGACCCGGATGCGCCCAAGAGCCACCTGCTCATGAACAAAGTGTATGTCGAGCTCAATACGCTTCGTTCGACGATGGTGGGCCAGGTTGGCGGAGAGGTACACGGCGGAGACGTCGTCGCAGTAGACGAGTGTGGCCTTGTGAACATCACAAAGCAACTCCTGGAACAGCTGACAAAGCCAAGAGCATTCAGCAACGGCGTTAGCCACTGCCCAATACTCTACCTCGGCACTCGAGCAGGAGACGGTGGGCTGTCGCTTGGAGGACCAAGAGATCAGGAACGGCCCAAGGTAGACACAGTACCCCGAGGTGGAGCGTCGTGTGTCCGGGCAGCCAGCCCAGTCCGCATCAGAGTCAGCGACGGGGCCGGTGGAGGCGGAGGCCGTCAGCGTAAGTCCCATGGACGGGGTGCCGCGTATGTAACGGAGGATACGCTTCACCAGGGTCCAGTGAGAGTCGCGTCGAGCATGCATGTGAAGACAGATCTGCTGAACAGCATACTGCAAGTTGGGACGCGTCGGGGTCAGGTACTGCAGAGCACCCACAATGGAGCGATGGAAGGCCGCATCGGATGCGGGTGTACCCTCCAGAGCGGAAACCTTGGCCTTGGTGTCGACGGGCGTGGGAGCGGGCTTGCAGTTAAGCATGCCAGCTCGCTCAAGAAGCTCATGGGCGTAGCGCTGCTGGTGCAGGAAGAACCCAGCTGGCCGTCGAACCACCTCAATGCCAAGGAAGTAATGCAGGGGCCCCAAGTCCTTCAGGGCAAACTCATCGCGAAGACGAGCAGTGAGCCGCTGAAGGAGCGCGGCAGTGGATGCCGTCAGGATGATGTCATCAACGTAGAGTAGCAGGTAGGCTGTGTCAACTCCGTGATGGTACACGAAGATGGCACATCGGAGCGAGTCGATGTAAATCCGAGCATCTGCAGGAGGGCAGTGATGCGCTGGTACCAGGCCCGAGGTGCCTGCTTCAACCCGTAAAGGGAACGGGAGAGCAAGCACACATGGTCTGAATGCGTGGCGTCGACGAAGCCGGTGGGCTGCTCACAGAACACCTGCTCAGCGAGGTGGCCATGCAAGAAGGCGTTGGAAATGTCCAACTGATGCACAGGCCAAGCTCGGGAGACGGCAAGCTGAAGCACGGTGCGGATCGTGCCCGGTTTAACAACCGGGGCAAAGGTGTCGGTTAAGTCCACGCCCGCATGTTGCCGAAAGCCCCGAACCACCCAGCGAGCTTTGTAGTGCTCGAGAGTGCCATCCGGGAAAGTCTTGTGCTGAAAGACCCACTTACCCGTGATGATGTTAGCACGAGGCGGCCGAGGGACAAGCTGCCAGGTGCGGTTTCGCTGGAGCGCGTCGAACTCTTCCTGCATCGCAGCGAGCCAATGAGGATCCCGAAGGGCGGCTCGAGCTAACGATGGGAGAGGGGACGGCTCAGAGACTGAAGCAGCGAGAAGGTACTCATCACTGGGGTACCGCGTGCTCGGCTGGAGAGTACCAGCCCGAGAGCGAGTCATCTGGCGGGGCAGCGAGTCCGGGGCAGCAGCGGGCGATGACGAAGAAGAGCCCACTACCTCCGAGGCCGCGGGCGAGACCGCGGGTGAGGCAGCCGCGGGCGAGGCCGCGGGCAAGGCGACAGGAGACGCCGAGAGGAGCATCAGGGACGCCTGGGGCATCGTGGGAGCCGAGGACGCCAAGGGCGCCGGGGGGTGTGACCCCTGAGGCAGCCAAGTGGGAAGGAACTCAACCCGTGGCGCGGGGGGCACCGTCAAAACCAGGAGGCGGCCCAATAGAGGCACGTGAGCGGCCATCACCTGGAGTGGGCAAGGCCGCAACATCCGAAGGTACCTGCTGAAATGGAAAAACTATCTCATCAAAGTAAACATGTCGAGAAGTGATCACCCGATGTGAGATAAGATCGTAGCAGTGGTAGCCTTTGGTGTTGGAGGGATAGCTGAGGAAGATGCAGGCCACGGACCGAGGTGCGAGCTTATGTGGAGTAGTGGAAGCGATGCTAGGGTAGCATAAGCAACCGAAGATGCAGAGCTCAGTGTAGGAGGGTGGCGTGCCGAACAAGAGGTGAGGAGATGCAAAATTCCCGCGAGTGCGACAAGGACGAATGTTGATGAGTAGTGAGGCGGTGGCAAGCGCGTCGGGCCAAAAACATGGTGGCACGTTGGCATGAAAGAGGAGGGTGCAGACGCAGTCATTAAGAGTGCGAAGTACACGCTCAGCGCGGCCATTCTGTTGCGAAGTGTATGGGCAAGTGAGAAGAAAAATCGTGCCGTGTGTGGCGAGAAGGTTGCAGATCGCAAGATTATCAAACTCCTTCCCGTTGTCTATTTTCAACGCATGGATGGGACGCCCAAACTGAGTAGATACATAAGGGTAGAAAGCGGTGAGAGTGGCAACACCATCTGACTTTCGCCGCAAAGGGAAGGTCCACACATAGTGCAAAAAATCATCAGGTATGACAAGATAAAAAAGATAGCCTGTGTTACTTGCAACAGGAAAGGTCCAAACATCACTATGAATTAACTCAAACGAGTATGATGCAACATGCGAGGAAGAGCTAAAAGGAAGACCAACATGTTTGGCTAGACGACAAGCATGACAAGTGTGATCGTCGATCTTATTACACGTGAATGAAAAACTGCGAATAATATGACGAAGGGTGGCGGTGTTGGGATGACCGAGACGAGCGTGCCAAAGGTCCACTCCGGCGGAAAGAGCCATGGGTGCCGCGATGGAGGAGGTGGATGAGTGGACCGGGTAGAGCTCGTCGGGGCTGTCACATCGGTGGAGCACCATCCGGGTACGGGCATCCTTAACAGAAAAGACAAACATGTCAAATTCCACGGTGACAGGATTTTCACGTGTAAGAGAACGAACGGAAACAAGATTTTTAATAATGTCATGAGAGACAAATACGCTAGAAAGATATAATGGCATGGAGTTAGATGGAAAAGCAGCATGACCGACATGAGTAATGGGCATGGAGGAACCGTCGCCCATGGTAATGCGAGCAGGGGTGTGAACGGGGTGAGAGGTAAGAAGGTTACCGGGGTTGGCGGCCATGTGAGCCGTGGCTCCGGTGTCCATGTACCAGTCGCTACCGCCAGTGTACTGCTGCAGCGTGGGGGCGGTGTGGAGAGCTGCAAGAAGGGCGAGGTCCCAAGGCGCCGGCGGGAGGGCCGGGGCTGACGGCAGTGGTTTTGGAGGCAGCGCCGCGAGGAGCGGCGGGTACCCACCAGCCGACGACGGCAGCGCGGGCGCGTACGGCTATGGGGCCGTGTAGAGCGCTTGATGAGAGGTCGGGCGGGCGCCGAAGAAACCGTGGACGGGGGCGTGCGGTATAGGCATGGAGTACACGTGAACGACCCCCGTCCAAGGGTTCTGGCCGACCTGCCAAGGCGCCGATGGGAGGGGCTGGTGCGGGTGGCGCGGCACCCCACCCTGGACGGCCTGCGGCTGATGCTGCTGCTTGCGGCCGCCACGGCCACGGCGGCCCCCACGGCGCTCGGCGGGGGGCGGGGGCAGCGCCGGCTGGTGCTGCGGGTAGGGGAACCCTGGCGGCTGGCGGCGCCTGGAAGGGGCCCGAGGCAGGCCGCGGCGGGGGAGCCGGGATGGTCGGTGGCGCGCCACCGCGGGTACCAGCGGTGAGGGCCGTGTGGGTAGCCCGTGTGTGCGACATCCGCATCCTCCTCTTCTCCAGCTTCAGGTACACGACGATCTTGGGAAGGTCGGTTGGCGATGAGGGGGATGTTGGAGGCGGCGTTCCCGAAGTCGTCGTTCAGGCCGGCGATGAGGGTGCTGAGAAGAAGCTTGTCGAAGACCGTCTCACCGAGGTCACGGAGCTCGTCAACGAGCTTCTTGGCGCATGCAGTAGTCGTCAACGGACGA